TCGTACATACATAAAGAAACACTGAGGAATATAACAAGTGCTTGCAAATAACACTGAAGAAATTTTACAATTCCTTAATGCTAGTTATTAAATTCTTTGAAATGAGAAAATAAAAGCGCGAATATACGCTAACAAACTAAGCGAGATACTCCAGTTTACAATTACTGAATTATAACATGTAAACAAATTACATTTAAATAACGAATTATTACGAACATATGTTAACAAAATATTAAATGCACTGTTATTGACAAATTACAATGAAATATATATTAGAAAAATAAGCAAGTGCAATCGGTATGGACGTTAAAATAACTAATAAGCAAAGTTCCACAACATTACAGTTGTAAACATCATTCGAACACACTCGACAGCCATGGTGATCACGAATAAGCTAGCGTAGGGTTGCTTAGTCGCCAATATTTCTCCCCGCGCCAAAAGGTACACCATCAAGCATGCGCAGTAAGCGAAATTTGCTTAACATTATTCAACTCAATGTGCGGTCTGCCATTACGCGTCCCTAACGGGTTCTGCCCTAATTCTACCTGTAACCTAACAAGCTGTTCCTGTCAGCGGGAACTTGTTTCCCATGACTCGCCAACATATTTAACGCCTGTGCCCGCCATTTGAAAAAAAAAATGGCCAAAAAAGTATGCTCTATACTGAAAATTAATATATTAAAATAACTAAAAGAAAAAAATAGTAAACACAGGAATAAGTAAAGGGGATAGGAGTAACTCCAAGAATTAATAAGTAGACTAGTAACAAAGTAGCAATAGAGATGAAACGCTAGTTAAATCTGAACTATAATAAATAAATAAATAAATAAAAAGTACTAATGAACACCCAAACACATTAAGGTAACATTTAATTTTGGATGTTTGATAGATTATAATGAGTTAAATTTATTTATATAAAAATTTGAAATTATATATCTGTATCTTAAATATATTAGTGAATAACAAAATAAAATAATGCAAACATTTCCTTTTTGTACTAAAACTGCGCTGCTTTTAATTAATGTCAAATGAAAAAAAAGAACGCATGAAACTTAATTACGTAAAAAATTAGCAATATTCTTAGCACAGGTGTGACTTTTAAACAGCAATTACCTTAGGTTCTTTTTTTTTAATTAATACAAATTCCATATACATCAGAATTCATCACCAATATTTGGTGGGGAGGTAAGGAATAGGAAAAGAAGCAGATTTCACATAGGAAAGTATATCCGCAGACGAACGCATGGTGGTGTAGAGGGCGCTGTGTGTACACAACTTCCATACATAAGAACAGCTGTTTGACGTGTGCAGCCAGTCGTCATTCGACTAGGTGAATTTTCAGAAGTAACATGAAACGGTATACGTGAAATGACCTTGCAGGTATGCATATAAATGCCATTCAAGAATCTCTTTATCCCTATTTCGCAACCTTCAACAATCTCCTTATATTTACATATTTGAATCCAATGTTTATTTGCTCTTTATTTAATTACAGTAAAGCATGCAACGACAGCTATCTGCCTATGGAAGAGGCATACATTCGTTGAGAATTATTTTAGTGAAAATGGCTCTTATTCGCAATACACAAGAAAAAAGAAACGAACACACTCATGCAATTGGACAGCCGGCTAGGATTCGAAATTTCTTGAACCGAATTATCAGTACTTAGCAGTTTTGTTTACTCGGCCGCTGCTGGTCATATTCAAATTCATTTTTAGTTTAGAATTTTTCTTCAGATAATCGTTTGCAGATCTAAGATCGTTTTGCACTTCCTGGATTAAAGTCCTGGCCACGCCCATGGTAATAAAGTAAAGAATACAAATGCTATCATTACAAAAAAAAATCATTTTTAATATAACAGTTGTTCAACTGTGTAGGAGACGGCTGCTTTAGACAGACGATTACGTAACGGCTGCGTGAATTCAACAGGAGCGCCGCTTTTGATTGGACTATTTTTTATTATTCTTATTTTTTCTTTAACTGGGAACTAAGTGGGGAATTCCCTTTTCACTGAGTTATATGTATGTACTAGTTGACCCTTGCTGTCACCTGTATGTACTAGTTAGAGTAATGTAAGATATCATATGTGAGATATCCATATTAAAACCTCCCTTCTATGATTATTTAATTTGTTTCTCAGAGCACGTTGTAGCCCTGAGAATTGGAACAACCTGGCTCAGTGGGAGTCAAAATATGGTAACCTCTTGAGTTTGCTCTTGCACTGTTTTGATGCCACTGAATATGTAGATCAAAATTAGAATAATCTGAAAATGCTAATTGGCAAATATCGCAAACTTTTGCGTCTAAAAGCATATGCACTAGCAAATGTTTCTCATACATATACCTACGAGTGGCAAGCGAGCCACATCGGTTACATACATAAACCATGTTATCGATTATCATTTTATGACAAAACATTGACGTATCGCGTTTTATTAGTAAATTTCTTAACAGAGGATATTGGTTGTAAGTCTAAGTGAGTATGCTAGTTTGAGAAGATATTCTGCAGCCAGTATCTTGCGATGCTGGTACACCATACTATCTTGTATCACCACAAGCAGTACGAGTCATTGGAGTGACCATCGGAGGGCCCCCTAATAGTTAAAGGGATCATCCGAGGATTACTAGTCATTGAAGGCACTATCTGAGAGTTCCTAGACATTGAATGGACTATCCGAGGATCCCTAATCATCGGAGGCATTATCTGAAGGTCCACAGACGTTGAAGGGACTGTCCGAGGGTCCACAGACGTTGAAGGAGCGGTCCGAGGGTCCCTAACGTTTTCAAAATATGAATACTATGATGATTGTCTAGGAAAAGAAACACCATCTCTGAAAGAAGTAGAAGTGCTAGCCATCCGATGGTCATGTGTAGATTGTAAATGTGAATACTGGCCTTGTGTTGCTTCTTGATTTTTCACAATGACGTTTTCATGTGGCGGGGAACAAAAATGCTTTTTTTGCCTGTGTTTTTCTAGTTTCTTACTGCTTGAGTAAGAATGTTCACACACGTCACATGCATGTGCCTTCGCTGTTTTGTATTTGGAAAGCGCATTTTTATGAAGCCGCTGCTCCTGTAAATTCGCTTGACACGATTTACACACTTTTTTCTTTTTTTTTACTTTTCACAGCCTCCGCTTTATCATTTTCAAGCGTTACAATGTATAGAACCGGATTCTTACAAATTTTACATAAATAGTTTTTGGATAAGCGGAATTTTTTTGATGAAGCAGTTACCTGGTCAATTCTAATTTCACTGCTTTTGCTAGACAGAACTATACTGTTTGAGCTTAAAGTAATTACCTCTTCAAGAAAAACACAGTCACTGTCACTTTCTTGCATTTCAGTATTGCTTGATCGTTTTTGTTTCCAATGTGCTTTCTTTTTATATCTTCTTTTCCTTTTCTTCCCAGCAGTCCTGAAATAGAATATATATTGATAAACAACCTATAAAAACAAAGTACTATTTATATTTTTAATGCTGTAACTAAAAACTAAATTTTTATTGTACAGGGTAGAAAATTTAATTTAACTACAATTAACACAGATTTCTGACATAAATGTATGCATAAACCTTTCCTTGAGGTACTTGTAAGTGCTCAGAACCTAACGCTGATCTAATAGCTGGTTTGGATAACTGACTGTTCAAGGCAAAATACACCAGAGCCTAATGAGAAGAATGACTTCATGAGGGATTTTTTTAAAAGCAAATGGTTAGTACTTTCATTACATATCGAGTAAAACATAAAAATTCAATGCAGTCAGTCCTTTCGCTGAGATTTGAATGTGATCGTATTATTTTTATCCAATAGTTTTATGTACTAGGAGATCACCAATGACCGAGTAGTACTATCATTTTATATTGATTGTTAGATCCGTGTTCAAATACTGGGGAACAAGGCATTCAAATATTGGTGAACAAGGCATTTCATGATTTTCCTCATATGAACGTGAATAGGCATTTCCTCTTAAAAAACCATCCATAAAGACATTCATTCCCTTAGGCAGATAGTTCTAGAGACCTTTGCTTTAATCAAATAACCTAACCTAACTTATGCATTTTATGTGTGAGATATATGTGTGAGAAGAGATTCTGATCTAGGCAAAATGAAGCAAAATTGCTGTTCATTTAAAATTTAAAAAGTGATTATAAAGAGTGTCTATAATTTAATCACCGGATAACAAAACTGCATGGAAACGAAATTTCACGAAATAACTGGAAATAATGTATATCAATATAATCTTCAGCTCAAGGAATTTCATTTATTCTAAGTTTTGTGAATCAACTGGGAACTTGTTTGTTTACAAACAAAATGGCGTCACGCAATGAAAAAGCAGTGTGCGTTCCTTAGTAATGAGAAACGAAATCTCCGAAAACATTTGGAAGACGATTCCGACGTGAATTTAATAAATTTTCATCAATGCACCGATCAATTAAAAGGTGGTTAGAACAGTTTCCAGAGGCCGGATATGTTTTTCCTGAAAAAGGTGCAGACAGTTCAATCGTCAGTGATGAAAACGTTTCTTCCATTCGACATGTGTTTGTGCGCAGTCCCAGTAAATCGATTCGCCATGCAAGCCTACAAACAGGCATTCTGAGGTCGACTGATCATAAAGTTGTTTATGGACGATTGAAACTGATCGCGTATGAATTGCAGATTTGTCAAGTCGTTCGTAAGGAATTTTCCGTAGATTTGCTTGACGGTATCATTAATGATAATCAGTTTATTCAGAAAATCGCATTCAGTGACGAAGCAACAATTTATATTTTACGAGATGTTAAATCGACATAACTACAGGATATGGGGATCAGAAAACTAGCACTGGGTAAGCGAAACTCAGAGAGGCAGCCCTAATGTTTAATGCGCACTAACTCACAACAAAGTGATTGGTAGTCCTTCTTAGAGGCGTCCATTAATTTGGACGTTTACTTCGATATGCTAAGAGTGTATGCTGTATCGCAATTAGAAGAAATAAGGCCAAACTTTTTTTCTCTCAACAGGATGGGCCCTCTGTCATTGGACTACACACGTGCATGATTTCCTTGATGTTTCTCAGATTGCTGGATTGGTACAGCTGGACTAATTTCATGGCCACCCCGTTTTTTGGACTCACACCACTCAACTTTTTTTTTTTTTTTTTTTTTTCTGGAGATACCAGAAGAACCGAGTTAATGCTGCAGAGATTCGAAGCACAGAAGATTTAAAAATCGAATCGCCACAGAAACAGCTGCTGTGACTCAGAAAATGCTTAAGTCATGGAGGGAAATCGAGAAAAGACGTGATATTCTCCGAGCAACTAATGATACTCATGTCCAAGCGTTTTATTACAAAAATCTTTGAAGTGCTAGATAAAATTCAGTTAGTCTTTTTTCCCTGTCTTGTGGGGAACAACAAGGGAAACGTCTCTAACAATTATTGTGCCCTTTATTTTGTATCATTTATAACATACCTGTATCTGGTCAATAAATTATGGACACCCTGTATTTTGCCTATGGTGTGTTATTTACACATCACAGAGTTTAGTACTTTGTTTATTTGATGTAACACACTGGACATTTGATATAACCCATAACAATTTAATAGCGGCCTCACCCATAGAAATCTAATTGAACTCTAAGGCCTTTATGACGAAATTTTAATTTATCACTTTATTAACATAATTTGGAATAACATAAATTTGATTTAATTTTATACTTCACATAATTTCATTACTGAAGTAGAATTCAAACGAAGTAAGTAGGAAGGACAATAAAAGCACTTATAAGGCATTTCTCCCGCCTTCTTAACATGCCTTCTTAACATGTAATGGTCAGCACGCTCGGCGTGTATTTCGAGATGTCCGTGGTTCGATTCCTGTTGAGGGCATTGCTCATTTTTCATCTCTCCTGCTTAGAAATAACCTAATGTCTCTACAGTGGCGCTCGAAATAAAAAAAGGTGGTGGATGATGCTTCTCAACCACCAGGATTTGGCGATTGGGTCCCCTAACCCCAGTCGCCCTTCAAAAGGGGATGTATATGAGATATTCTTCCCACCTTCTTAGCATGCCTTTCGTGGTGTAATGGTCAGCACGCTCGGCACGTGTTTCAAAAGGTCCGTGGTTCGAGTCCTGGTGAGGGCATTGCTCATTTTTCATCTCTTCTGCTTCGAAGTAACCTAATGTCTCTACACATGTTTAACTTAAAATATTTAATGCTGATTGCTTTTGCTTTCAATTGTAAAGAGCATAAAAATAAAAGCGTAAAGACAAAGCTATTCGAAGGGAAATATGCGAAACATTTTATTGTGATCAATAATTGTTAGAGACGTTTCAGAAAGATGTACAAATTCCTATTTACAAAGAGATTACTAGAATTGCAATTAATATTGAAACCTGTAAAATCATGAACTTATCATGGATTTATGAATAAATCCGCTAAATATCAGTAGTTAGTTTCAGGTTTAATTCTCGGCCAACAGTCTGGCAGAGTCAGGTTTTCGTATTTTTCTCTATATGTAACGCGAATAATAGCTATTTTCCCATAAAATATTCAGCATGATGGCATCTCATCTAAGGCTGCTAGCCTTCACGTCCTTTGCCATAGTTGATAAATTATTTCCAAGTAGCCCGATGACGTAGCAATCTTGTCGCGCATGACGTTGTAAATGACGTAGTAATCTCGCTACGTATGATATTGCAAAGGCGTCACATTATATCGTCTTTAAGACGCCCAGATGTCAGCAAAATTTTACTCTTTTGCGACCTTCTCAAACATGTCGATTACACATTCCTTTTAAACAAAGATATCGCTTTCGCACCTTTATATACCACATTCTCATGGCCAAAACGTAGGATGTTACACTGTAACGACGTCGTATAGCGACGTTTTATGATGCCTTATTGAAGGTACCTTTATTGTAACATTCGCCCCTTAAAAAGTTAAACTGCAAAACTAATACCTTATTAGTTCTGTAATTTACTTTTAGGGGATAGTTGAAAACATAGATATGACGCCTTTTTGCAAATAAAATCAATTTTATTGTGTCATTGTGTTTATTAGAGTATTATTTAACTATTTAATTTACTGGTTTTTCAAATTCTGACATATATCTACTTACTTGTTATTCGAAACATCTGAGTAAAATACATATTTAATACAAAACCACATATTTTAACAAACTATTAATTAGATAAGAATTATTTATAAAATAATAAACTTAAACTTCAGACATTTTCAGATCATCCAGCATACAATATAATTAACCTAATAATGTAAGTATCATTATTAATAACTGTTTACTGTTTTATTTTAATTATTTCTCTTAATACGTCTTCTCTTCTTAGGTAGCATAAACTAGCTAGACCTAAACAGACTGTGTAGCTGAATTATCCCTAAGTCTTAAGTACGACAAAGTCTAGCGAAGGGTGTAAAGAATCCTTTATTAATTAAATTATGATTCTCAGATGGCACCGACTCGTGCTTACAAAAACCAACACTTTTTGCTTAACTCAAAAGGTAACGGGTAACGTAAAAAAAAATAAATGGAATTAAGCTTAGCCTAACGGGTTTTCACAGATTACTCAGCGCGCAAGCAGCTCTGACTCGTAAAAGTCGACGTAAACAAGCCCAATGGCAAAAATCGCTCAACGTAACAGAAATCTAATCATTAACAAAACAAAGATAGCAACGTGGTCTTCAGGCAGGTAGAACACTCTCTAAAATCACCTTCCAAATATCTTCCCTTAAATACTAGCTTCTAACTCATTTGAATACACGCGAGCTAACTCATTTACATTCTGGCAAGAAAACGTGGGTTGAAAGCAAGAGATATAGGAAAAGTTGCTTTAAAATAAAATTAACTGTTAGGTAAATTATATAAATCCCCACATTTTTCCCTGCCAAAATTTAAGTGTACGCAAAAGAGGTCCTTAACGACCTCGTTAAAGAACTTAAATTCTAACTATAGTACAGCTCCATTTATCCGAACTACGACTATACGAATCGCTTTCAGAATTTCAGAATCAACTGAAGAAGATAAGGAAAAGGAGAAATAGGAAAAAGAAGAAAAGGAAGAGACAGGAGAAGATGAGGATGACGTGACACTTGAGGAATTAAGAAGCATTCTTTTGAAAATTCCTGGATGTTTAGAAGCTAGTGCTGAGGATACAGCAGAATGGATGCTGTGGGCTTCGTCATATCCTAGGTTTCAAATTCTAAATGATGATGAACTTCAAAATCGCAATAACAGCCTCGTATTTAGCGTACATATATTAAAATAATCGATTTCGAGGGCAGCTAAAGGTCCCTCCTCATCAGGAGAACGAAATTACTAGAAAGGGGAAAAAAGATAGGAAATGAATGATGATGAACTTATTGAAAGTGTGAGAGAAGAAAGTGTCGAGGAAGGAGGTGACCTTAATGCCGCAGACACGGGACCATCAGCTAGTGAAACGTTTGCCGGCCATGAAACTGCACTGAAATGAATGGAGCCGTTAGCCCCAGTATGACCACATGCAATTTCTCATTGTCAAGCGGATGTGCGACATGGCTGTTAGGCCTTTCTCGAAGGCCTAACAAGCGAAAGCGGTAACTGAAAGTGAATAACGAACTGCAAGCGAAGCGAATAAATGGTCGGTATATTCTCGAAGGCCTAACAAGCGAGAGCTCTCGGCACTTTTACCCGTAGTTGATAGCTTTGCACCTGCTCAGCTGCACGGTTTGACCGCCACAGAATCCCCGATGGTCCTCCCTTCTGAACTTCAGGACCCAAGAACGTTAGAATTTCCTTGGCGTCTCAGAGGCTTGTTTGGCTGGCCACTTGTTCCTTAGCCGTCTCGATGTCGGTTCCTCTCCGTACTTTGGATACACTGCTGGAACTTTCCTTTGGAGATTTTGCGTACGTTGGCTCTCCTTTGGCAGTTCGCGTCACCTCTTGGATTCATTGCATCTTGGCCTTTCTTGGTTCTGTTTGCTTCCTAGGTTTCTTTAGATGTTCCTCTGTACTCACAGTTGCCTTTCTTTTTGTAGATGGCATTTGTGCTTCCATTAGGTGTCTGCTCGACTTCGCTGCTCCTTGTTGCATTCGCGTTATCCGATCGAGTTTCTAATAGCTTGAAAAATCGACTTTTTATTCCGGTCATAATATGGTTAAATTTGATTCACATTTGCAATTGTTTGTTCCCCAAATTTATATTTCAGATACAGCACAGCTTCCCTGATCCTTTCAATTACGTATAGGCCTTGAAATCGAGGACATAATTTGGCTATTCTTTCCTCCCCTTCCGATGATAAAGAATGCTTGATTTTGAGTACGTGGTCTTCCACCTTATAATTCCCTTCCCTCCGATTCCTGTCATAACACAATTTTTGTTTCTCCCTTGCCATGTCTGAACTTTTCACTGCTTCATCTATTATTTTCTGTATATGCTTAATGTGAAATTCTGGTGTTCTCTTCTTCACAAATAAGAATTAATCCAGCGGCATAAATATCTTTCCGCCTAAAAATAGTTCCGCTGGAGTTTTTCCTATTGTATCAATGCTTTGCCGTTCTTAAATGCATACGGTAACACATTGACGCCGTTATCTCACCGCTTATCATAGTCTTTCACATAACAATATATAATTTTGACTATGTTCTTATTCACATAGCAACCTATAATTTTGACTATTTTCTTATTCATTCGCTCCTCTATGTCTGTTTGCAGCCGATAAGGTATCGTTTTTAGATGGCATATGCCAAGTCTTGAGCATAGCCCTTCAATACCTGACTAACAAATTGTTTATCATTTTCGGAAATTGATTTTTACACAGAGCTTTGTATTTTAAGACATATTTATTTAAGAACGAATCTGTACCTATTTTAGCCGAGACTCTTCTCAGTAGGATTATTTCAACAGATTTACAGAAATAGCCTGCGATAACAAGTAAATATCTACTTTAATTGATTTCTCTGTGGAAGTACGGACCCAATAGATCGATGCAGACCAGTTCGTTAGGGAACGTTGCTTTTATATTTTTAAGTACCCGGCAGGGCTATAATTAACATCCTTATTTTACTGACAAGTATGTCCCGACCTGACATGCCCACTTACGAACTTTTGTAATTGTAGAAAATACACCGTCTCACGAATTCGTTGTACTATTTTTCTAATTCCAAGGTTGACAGACATGGGCAAATCGTGTAATTCATTTAGAATATTTAACCTTAAACTCGCTGAGATAACTGGGTTAAGCTCATAATTTAGATTTATAGGCTTTGAGTAAAATAACGGATTATCAACGAGTTCGCAGTTCTCGGCTTTATTCCGTATCGTCGTAATAGCCGAGTATTCAAAATAATCCGGATCCTTCAAGTAATAATAAATATTTTTAAACACGGGATCCCTTTTCAATTCTTCTAAAACTGTCTCGCGCGAGTCAAGTATTTTCTCCATCAGCATAGTGCTCTTAACTGTGTTGCCTTCGTCATCCAACTTTAATCTTGAAAGCTAATCGGCCACCGTA